AAGAGATCCCTGCAATCATTCTCTGATCAGCCACTCAATCCTCCCACTGTCTATGGGTCAACAGTTCCAGAAGCAGCTGCCTCCAAGGGGCTGTGCTAGGACTAAGGCCAGACTGCTCTCCTCTCTCATCAAGGTCCAACAGACCTTTCCTACTGACCTTCTAAGTTGTCTTTGCCATTTGTGAGTTGAGAAGTCTGGAAACCGCTACAACTGTCCTGTGATTCAGTCCCCTGAGGCATGCTCCAGGTTAACTGAGGGCCTGTTTTTGCCTACCTGGCCCATGCTGAACTGTGCTCCTCTACCATCCCGGCACAACAGACCTTTCTTATCAACCATCCAGGTTTTCTTGGGCTAGAAATTTATTTCACTCTGTCTTTTTGTGAGTTCTACTGCTCTAGAATTTGTTTAGAGCCATTTTTTTTACAACTATTAGGTGGGGTTTGGGGGAGAGCTCAAGCAAGGTACTGCTTTTACTCTGCCATCTTGGCTTCACCCCCTGAGAGGGAGATTCTCGTTCGAGGAAAAATGAGGAAACCAGTGTCACTGGACCATAGACTACATGGAAGAGAATAAGGGATAATAAAACTGGAAAGGTGGGTAAGGGCCAGGTTATGAAGAGTTTTCAAAGGCAAACAGGGCCTATTCTGTTTGATCCTGGAAGTAAAGGGATCCATTGGTGTGACTTTATTGAATTTCATTGAAGAGGAGATAACAAAGAATTGCTCTTTAGGAAGATCACTCAGATGGGTGAGTGGAGGATTGACTGGAGTGGGGAAGAGACTGGAGATAGGGAGTCCAGAAGGCTATTGCAGTAATCTAAGTGTGATGTGATGAGGGATTGCAGTAGGGTATTGGCAGTGTTAGAGGAGAGAAAGGCATGTACATGAAAGATGTGAAATTAGAATTGACAAGATTTGGCAAAGTATGGGATATTGGGAGATGAGACAGTGAGGAATCATGATACTGGTAGCTGAGAGGATGGCGCGAGTTTAGAAGTAGGGAGAGTTTGGGGGAAGATGAAGAAGAAAGATAATCAGTTCAGTTTTGGCCAAGCTGAGTTGACATCTAGTTCAAAATATCCAAAAGGCAGTTGGAGATACGAGAATGGAAGTTGAGAGAGGCTTTTAGAACTGGATAAAATAGATTTGAGAATCATTGGCATAGAGATGATAATTGAATCTGTGACAACTGATGAGATCATCAATCAAAAATATAGAGGGAGAAGATTGCCCGGAGTAGAGACTTTAGGGGATACCCATTGATAGTGGGTACCAACTGGATGAAGATCTAACAAGAACTGAAATCAGTCAAACTGTTAGAAAGAGAACCAAGAGAGAGAAGTGTAATGAAAACCTAGAGAGAAAAGAATATCTAGGAGAGGAGGGTGGGTTGATACTGTCAAAGATGACAGAGAGGTCAAGAAAGATGAGGATTGAGAAATGGCTATTAGATTTGGCAGTTAAGAAATCATATGATTGTAATTGAATAGTATTGTGCCGTAAGAAATGACGAGCAAGATGCTTTCAGAAAAACCTGGACTTATAGGAACTGATGCAAAGTAAAGTGGGCAGAACCAGGAGAACATTGTACATAGTAACGACAATGTTGTATGATGATCACCTGTGAATGACTTAGCTATCCTTAGCAATACAGTGATCCAAGACACTTCTAAAAGACCTATGATGAAAAATGCTATCCACCGCCAGAGAAAAAAGCTGATGGAATCTCAATGCAGCTGGGAGTGTACTATTTCTTTAAACTTTCTTTCTTTTTCCTTTTTTTTTTGACTGTGCTTTCTTTCACAGCATGACTAATATAGCAATATGTTTTGCATGACTACACATGTATAACATTTATCAAATTGCTTGTTTTCTTGGCAAGGGGAAAGGAAGGGGAGGGTGGAAGAGAATTTGGAACTCAAAATTGTAAAAAGTAAAGGTTAAATTTTGGTTTTATATATAATATGTAAAATATTAAAAGTCAAATAAATGAAGAGATCATAGATAACTTTAGAGAGCATTGAATGATGAGGTCAGAAGCCAGACTGGCTAAGAGTAAGAGGAAAGGAAGTGAAGACATGGATTGTAGACAGCTTCCTTGAGGAGGTTAGCTACAAAAGAGAGGAGAGGTCTACAGGTTAATAGTCAGCAGAGATAGATGTATCAAGTGAGAGTTTAAGGGTGGAGGAGATATGAGCATGCTTGTAGACATCAGGAAAGCATACAGCAGACAGGGAGAAATGAAAGATTGGAGAGAAAGTAGGGAAGAGAGAAGGGTAATTTGCTGAAAAATATGGGATGGAATGGATCAAGTGAGGCTGTGATAAGAGAAGAGTGTAAGTGACTCATTATACTTGGAAATTTGGAGCGTTTTGCTATATTGGAAACAGGAAAGATTAGCAAGACTTTAGAGGAATTTTAAAGTTTGTCTTATTTATCTCCCTCACACAAGAGAACTACAGAGATCTTGCTAAGGCTCCATGATGAAGAAATTGTGAAGGTGAAACAATATTATGAGCTGCACAAAGAACTATTTGAAGGCATTCAGAAGTGGGAAAAGAACTGGAGGCTTTTCTTGGAATTTGAGGTACTTTTTTAGAGGGAGAGAGGAGGGAAAGGCAGAAAAGAAGAGTGTAATAAGTTGTCCTGAATAGAATTGCTGAAACCCCATTCCTTGGTGCAATGAGATTTCTGAAACCTGATTTTGCCTCCTAAGTCTCCTCATTTCCGCAAGCCATGTCTTGCTAACTTCTCATGAACCTACTTAAAGATCAGTTCTGGTTGGGAATACTTTGGATTCCTTTTCTGGCACCTTAGTTGTTAGTGCAGGGAAGGAATACATTTCTGGCTCTGAGGTGTATGGTTTTATGAAATTAAAGGACTCCCAAGAACTAAATCTTCCTTCTGTGTTTGGATTTATTGCTTAAATAGTAGCTCTAATTAAAATTTATTGTCTCCATTTACAGCAGCAAATGACTTTAGTAATAACCTTGTGTTTGACAAGTGTGAAGACTTATGTTTTTGAGAGAAGAATTCATTAGTTAGTACAAAATTGTTGAAAAAGTTGGAAAGTAGTCCGGAAGAAATTGGGCATAGACCATTATCTTACACCATTTCCCAAGATAAGGTCAAAATGGATACATGACCTAGATAGAAAGAGAGATATTACAAGAAAGTTTGAAGAACATGGAATATATTACCTATCAGGCTTACGGAGAGGTGAACAATCTATGAAGAAACAAGGTATAGAGAGCAGTATGAGGTGTAAAATGGAAAATTTCAGTTACATCAAGTTAAAAAGGTTTTGTTCAAATAAAACAAATGTAGCCAAGATCAGAAGGAAAGCAGAAAATTGGGGTAAAATTTTATACATAGTTTCTCAAATAAAGTTCTGATATCTCAAATATATACAGAACTTTGTCAAATGTATAAAAATACAAGTTATTTCCCACTTGATAAATGGTCAAAGGATATGAACAGGCAGATTTCCAATAAAGAAATTAAATAATGTATAGTCATATGACAAAATGCTCTAAATCATGATTGATTAGAGAAATAAAAATTAAAATAATCTTGGGATATCATTTTACACCTACCAGATTGGCCAAAATAATTGAAGAGGAAAGTGCCAAATGTTGGAGGAGATATGGAAAAATTGGGACACTAATTCATTGTTGGTGTAACTATGAACTGATCTAACCATTTTGAAGAGCAATCTGGAATTATGCCCAAAGAGTTATTAGACTGCCTATACCGTTTGACCCTGCAATACCATTACTAGGTCTATTTCCAAAGAATTAGAGAAAAAGGAAAAGAACCTATATGTTCCAAAGTATTTATAGCAGCTCCTTTGTGGTGGCAAAGAACTGGAAATTATGGGGATGCTTATCAGTTAGGGGATGGCTGAACAAGTTGTGGTTTATGACTATTGTTATAAGAAATGATGAGTTTGATGATCTTTGAAAAACATGGATAGACTTGCATGAAATAATGAAGCACAAATTGAGCAGAACCAAGAGAACATTGCATACATTAACAGCAATATTATTTTAAGAACAACTTGGAGCTAGTAATGTATTTTGACTCTTATAAATACCCATATTAACTACACATGACCTATGAAGGAAGATGCTATCTGCATCCAGAAAAAGAACTGATAAATAGAAGTATGTATAGAATTATTTTACATAAAAATACTTATTTGTTTCTAATGGTAGCCATCTCTAGGTCTGGGGCAGTGAGGAAAGAAAAAAAAAAGAAAAAAGTTACATGATAGCTTTAATACATATTTTAAAGGAATAGCAAGTTGTACATCATAGATTTGCAGTTTCATGTGCAGTCATGTTTTTTCTATTCTAATATGTTACAGAAATGGTTGTTTTATTTCTAGAATTCAGAATAAAATCAATTTAAAAAAAAATGTTGTCTCCACAGAGAAAAGCTTCAGATCCAAGCCGATTTAGGAACCGTGGTGGAAATCTCTTAAAAGAAGAAAAGCATGGAGCCAAGCTACAAAAAACACTCTTTAAGGTAGACAATGCTTTTTGGAGTGCTCTTCATGTTTTACACGAAAGGTCCTTCATTTCAAAATCGAGCTTTGATAAAAGCAGAATAAGGAAAACAACACACACTGATTACAACAACATCAATAGAAAGAACAAAATTTTCTAGTTGAACACTGCTTAATGACAATGACCAAACTTGGCCTGGAAAAAGAGTTAAGAAAAGGTCCCTGAACGTCCTTTTTTTTTTCTTTGTACCAGTGGGGTTTTTTAAGTGTGGTACTCTCCAGTTGGTTGATGTCTTGGTTGGTTTTGTTGAATTGCTTTGCACTCCTCCCCACCCCACCCATTTTTTTCTTTGTTATGAGGGATGACTCCTGGAGGAGGAAAGAATGAGAGAGATACATTCAGAAATAAAGGTGATAAAAAAGAAAACACCAAAAAATGCCTTTTAAAATCTGTCCTTTAAGTTTTCTGCCCAACAGTGACTACAGTAATCTACTGTTTGATAAACCCAAAGCCCCCAGCTTCTGGAATAAGAACTCATGATTTGACAAAAATTTCTGGGAAAACCGGAAAATAGTATGGCAGAAATGAGGCATAGACCAATATCTTACACCCTATACCAGGATAAAGTCAGAATAGGTTCACAATTTAGATACAAAGGCTGATACTATAAGCAAACTAGGAGAGCAAAGAAGTTTACCTGTCAGATTTATGGAGAATGGAAGAATTTGTGACCAGACAAGGGATAGAAAACATTATGAAATGCAAAATGGATAATTTCGATTACATTAAATGGAAAAGGTTTCACAGAAACAAAGCCAATGCAACCAAAATTAGAAGGGAAGCAGAAAGCTTGAAAACAGTTTTTACAACCAGTGTCTCTGATAAAGGCCTCATTTCTAAAATATGTAGTGAACTGAGTCAAACTTATAAGAATACAAGTCATTCCCCAAATGACAAATGGTCAACGGATGTGAACAGGCAGTTTTCAGAGGAAGAAATGCTCTATATCACTTCGATTAGATAAATGCAAAACAAAACAATTCTGAGGTAGTGTATCACACCTATTAGTTATGATAAAACAGGAAAATTATAAATGCTGGAGAGGATATGGGAAAACTAGAACACTAATGCATTGTTGATGGAGTTATAAACTAATCCAACCATTCTGGAGAGCAATTTGGAACTATGTCCAAAGGGCTATAAAACTGTATACCTTTGACCCAGCAATACCACTTCTTGGTCTGTATCCCAAAGAGGCCATACAAATGGGAAAAGGACCCACGTGTACCAAAAATATTTATAGCAGCTCTTTTTGTGGTGGTCAGTAATTGGAAACTGAGAGGATGCTCATCTATTGTGGAATGGCAGAACAAGTTGTGGTATATGAATGTAATGGAATACTAGTGTTCCATAAGTAATGATGAGCAGGTGGACTTCAGAAAAACCTGGAAAAACTTACATGAATTGATGCTGAGTGAAGTGAGCAGAAACAGGAAAACGTTGTACACAGTAACAGTCACATTATGTGATGACTAACTTTGATACACTTACCTCTTCTTAGCAGTGCAAAGATCGAAGACATCTGCAAAAGAGTCAAGATGGAAAATACTATGCACATCCAGAGAAAGAATTATGGAGTGTGAATGCAAATGGAAGCATATTATTTGCATTCTTTTTTTTTTTGGTTTTGTTTTGTTTCTTCTTTCTCATGGTTCCTCACATTGGTTCTAATTCTTCTATACAACATGACTAATGTGAAAATGTGTTTAATATATCTGTAGACCCTATATCAGATTACACACCATCTTGGGGAGGGAGGCAGGCAGGGAGGCAGGGTGGGAGGGGAGAAAATTTAAAACTCAAAATTTCATTCTCATAGAAGTGAATGTTGAAAACTGAAAATAAATTAACTAATTAATTTTTTTAAAAAGTTTTCTGCCCAAGAAACAAGTCCTATATTAATTTCTCCAAACAAATAGAATGCTACATTATACCTCTCTCAAGAAGGCTATCCTTACTAGAGTTGTCCATTGGGTCACAAAAGATGTTCTTAGGATGGAGCTTCCTCAGGCATTAGAATTCTTGTGAAGATCCAACCATTGTGACTTGGGTTTTGCTGAATGCCATAGCATCAGGTGCCATTAAAACAAAACAAAACAAAAACTTAGAAGTGCATGTAATTTATTTCTCTTTGCTCCCTCATGTGTTTTCTAAATAAGCTGGGGCTTTTTTCCCCCTAATGATCAATTTTATGTACATTCTGTCTTGGTCTCATGTTTTGCTTAGAGTTACAAACATATTGAAATAGGACAATCGACCCCTGAATGGAAGAAGTCACCCTTTGGAACAGCAAGATTAATAGCATGTTAGCGAGTTATTGATAATAAGCTTTCCTTTTTTTAAATAACCTCAGCTGGAAGAGGAGTTGAAAACGCAGATTGAAATGTGGGAAAAAGAACATTCTGAGACTTTTGTGGTGAATGGCCAGAAATTCACAGAACATATGATGGAACAGTGGAAGATGTTTCATTTGAACAAAGAGAAAGAAAAGCAGGAACGAGTAAGTAAAAACAAAAGAGAAAAGCTGTGAGCTAAGTTGGAGGGATGGTGAGAGCATACAGTCTATGTCCATCCCTTGCCTTCCATTTTGTGTGTGCTATAGACTAGCTTTGGGCTCTGCCTTCACACCCCCTTTTTTTTGATGTTGTGCTTATCACTGATGATTCTTATTCCTATAGCAACTAAAGAAGAACCAAGAAACGGGAGCAGAGATGTCATATAGCAGCAGATCCAAAATACCCTTCAAGAAGGAAGGACTGAGGCCTAATTCATCAGGCAAAGGCTACACGGTAACAAAGCTTTACCTCATTAAAAAGTCTGACTCTTAGTCAGAGAAGTATTGTTTGGAAAAAGGTAGTAGGAATGATATCCAAAATGGCAGCTTGCTGGCTTGGCAACTTTAATCCAAGTTTTTTGAGTGAATGCCATTAAAGCCCAGCATAGTTTACCTAATCATTGTTTACCCTCTTTTGGAGTGGGACAAGTCCCTGCCTGTGTGCTGATAATCTCAAAGAACCTCTACCTTGCTAACCACCATGATTACCCAGTGAATGTTCAGCCATCTATCTTATGTTAACTGCACTAAACTTTCAGAGTGTACTGAAGCAGGAATTTTCTAGGATTGTATTATCAACTTGGAAAGAAGGAAAGGATCATTTATTAAGTGCCTATTATGTGCTAGGTACCATGCTAGGCCTTTTCAAATATTATCTCATTTGATCCTTAACCCTGGGAGGGAAGGATTGTTATTATCCCCATTTTACAACTGAGGACACTGAGTTTAAGTGACTTGCCCAGGTTCACACAGCTAATATCTAATGCTGGATTTGAACTTGGGTATTCTGACTCCAGGCCCAGCTGTATGCCTCTCTAAATTAGAATCCAAATTAAAAACTGGAATAGGCATCAAGCTAGCATGATAAATGAAGGAGCATAACTATATGACCTCTGGGGCTCCTTCCATCCATAAATCTTCTGAAACCTTGAAGTTCCATCTAACAAAGGGATGAACATTTTTCACATTGCTATCATTAGGCCTTTCATTATTTGACTGATAAGTGAAGGGTTCTCATCGTGCCTGTTCTTTTGGTCAGGTTCAAGCCAGATACACCCATGAAACAGGATTCCCTGTTGCAGAGCTGCTACTATTCCTCACAGCTCTCATCCTGAGAAACCACTTTTCTTTCTAGTTATAATGGTTTAGTTAAATAGCTATTAGCTTCTTCCTCTGGTGATCTTTGCCTTTTGCTTCCAACTTCTCTCATCCCATGTACTTCAGTCTAAGATTATCTTAGCAGCAGGTTCTCACAGTACTCTCAGACTTATACAATGATAAATGTGTCTTGTCCTTGTGAAACAAGCTTAAAGTGCCAGTGTTTCCACCCTTATCGCCTTCCTGGGTAGTAGCTTTTCACTAACAAGTGCCTTCTAGACACGGGAAATTGTTTTTATACCTTCTTGTATAGCTCAGAATGTCCTGGGGTATAGCTATGTGCATCTGAGTTTTTGTTACTGTACGAAGCAGTGTTTTTCTATGATTCTTGCTGGAGTAGGTAACTAAGATGTGTTCCATGGCATCATTCCCTCTGCCTGCTCCTTAGAGACTGTGCTGAAGGGTGGGCCAAGGAGGAAGACTTCACGGACCTGCCAGATTTCTGGGCTCTTCTGAGAATGTGCTTCCCTCCCCACTTTCCTCATCTGTTTTTTATTTCTCTTCCAACAGTAAAAATCATCAGAGACTTACAACTTTGATATCTTCAGTGCCCTTCCAACGTTTACTTCTTCATCCCTCCTGGAGTTCACTACAAGTTTTTTTTCCCCCTGCGGATAAGGGAATATTTATGATTAAACAAGCGATAAAGAATATTTTGGGACATAAAGCCAATGCAGCCAAGGTTACAAGGAAAGCAAAGAATTTGTGGGTGGGGGAATTTATCAAATTTCACTAATAAATGCCACACTTCTCATGTATGTAGAACTGAGTCAGATTTATAAGAATACGAGTCATTCTGTAATTGATAAGTAAGTAAAGGATATGTTTGTTTTTGTTTTTGGCTAGGCAATGGGGTTAAGTGACTTGCCCAGGGTTACACAGCCAGTAAGTGTTATGTGTCTGATGCCAGATTTGAACTCAGGTCCTCCTGAATCCAGGGCCAGTGGTCTATCCACTCACCACCGAACTGCCCCCATGATCAAAGGATATGAATGATTAGTTTTCAGAAGAAGAAATCAAAGTTCTCTAAAGGCATATAAGTTTATTATAAGTATGTTAAGGTAGCAAATGAAGATCAATGATAGCTTGAAGGTAGAGGCCAGCTTTTAATGAGAACTTTAAAGCCAATTCAAATAAATCTACCTCATCAAAAGAGTCTGGGCCATTGCATCTCATTTCTTCCCCAAGTTTTCAAGAACAGTAACAATTTGCAGGTAGGGGTACTATGTCACAGGCAGGGGTGCGTAACAAACAGCAGGTAATGCAAAATGCTACAGATTTGATGTCAACTTCCTCCACAGAACCTTTCCCCACACACACACACATAGATTGACAAGAACTGGGAAGAATGGGACATGGAGTCAACATAATGTTCCATACTTTCCTGTTGGGCCCTTTGTAGTTCTTTGAATCTGCTTTGAATCTGGTCTGCCCTTGGCTCAATATGTAAAAATTAGGTCAGAATTCCCCAGCTCAGATGCTGGGGAGAAGTGTCAGTCCTCCAGACCTTTCCAAGTTCCCTGTGGATTAGCCCAGATCAAGGTCAAGCCCAGGTCTAGAGCTCGCCTCTTTCTCCCTCCATGAGTTCTTTCTCAGGTGTCTAGCTGAATGCTCTCTCCTCTCTTCTGTATCTTGAATTTCTCCCTCCCAGGGTGTGACTAAGCACCTCAATCAGTCCACACAGATTAGCCTCCCCCAGTGAAGAACACAGACTTTAGTCAAATCTAGTCAACAGCTGTCAACTCTGAAAAGAAATGGCCAGAGTCACAGAGGTTGTGCAACCTCTCTCAACTCTGAAAATACCAAAGAGCTCACACAGGTTATCACAACGACAGTTAACTCTGAAAAATAAAATAAAATAAAACCAAAATAAAACCAAAGAACTACCAGTGGTGATAAGCAAAATGGTTTCATTGTTGTGTTGAAGGAAAGAAACTAGACACGTGTCAGGACCTCCTCTGATACTGAGGAGACTCAATTTGGTGTGAGTAAATCTCAATACATTTACTAGTGGTTTCACAGTGAGCTGTAGCCCTGATAATGAGAGATAACAGCAACAACAGGACAAGTTTGATTCAAAGTGTGGTTTCCTGACTGGAACGTGGTTTCCAAAAATCAGCCTACAGAAGTTCCTTACAAAATCAAAATGAAAAATTGAAAATTGTTTTCAAATATCAGCTTACTATTTGCATGTGCAATTGCTCCAGAGAAAAGACCATTCTGTCACAGAAACCATAGCGCATATTCATAGTAATTATAAATGCTAAAGCCCATGCAAAATGATTCATTAAGTACCCGTCAGTATCATTCTGTAACTGACACCTGCCCTATTACCATATTTGTCTTTTGCAAAGAACCTTGAGCCAGCAGCAATTCACCAGAAATGAAGGTGTGAGAAAATTTAACAAGTAATGAAAAAAAAGCCAAAAATAAGGAGTGAGAACTCCACACGTCAGGGTCTGACAAGCCTATGATAGGACTATGTTAGAAGACAAGGGCTGTACATGCATTTATACCGGTCCCTTTATTTGTCTGCAGAAAGTGCTGCTGGCCTCATTTCTCTCTATGGACTCATCAATGCAGCTGAAAGGTGTCATCACACTTGTGTGAACCTTGAACACAATGGTATGACCAGAGCTGAACAGATGAAGGGAAATGGAGTAGAAGAGCTTAGAGTTTGAACTTGGGAGGTGTGCAAGTGATTACAAGCTCATCTGCACTTCTGTACTGGAAGTTTTGACTTCAAATCTCACTTCAGCTCTGTCTCAGTTGAAGCAACTTGGTTCACAGTTTGACAAACTAAGCTTCAAATAACTCCTTTGTAAAATATATGGAAGAATGGCTCTTACCTTACTCACTAGCCATGATAATGCAATGTCAAAAGAAGTCCAAAACTCACAAGATACTGACAATCACATCATCTTCATCACCACCATAACTGTCATTCCTATGATTGGAGCTATACTTCCTTCTGCATGTACCCTTCAGAAAAGACCCTTCATGAGTACATTTGAAGAATTTCATCTGTCTATCCAGAAGCATCTTCTCTAGTTGCCAGTCATGATTCACTTTCCAAAACCCACCCTTGAGAAGTAAATCTTCACCAAAAGAAATGGTTTGTGGCAATATTTTTTCCATCCTTATTGTTGCCATGTGTCCACAAGAAGGAGTCTGAATCTCTGGCCAAGAAACCATTTCAGGAATGAAAAATGCAGAACCTTTTTGAAAATTCAGGGATCCACAAACAAAGAAATTAATTATAGATCCAGGAGGGATAATTTGAAATTATTGGACTAGAAAACAACTGACTTGAAAAATAGGTCCAGGAGAGATAATTTTAAATTATTGGACTACCTGAAAGCAATGATCAAAAAAAGAACCTAGACATTATCTTTCAAGAAATTATCAAGGAAAACTGCCCTGATATTCTGGAACCAGAGGGTAAAATAAAAATTGAAAGAATCTACATATCACCTCCTGAAAGAGATCCCAAAATGAAAACTACCAGGAATATTATACCCAACTTCAAGAACTCCCACGTCGATGAGAAAATATTGCAAGTAGCCATAGCCAGAATGAAACAGTTGAAGTATCGTGGAGTCACAGTATAACAGAAGATTTAGTACCTTGTACATTAAACTATCATATGGCTTGAAATATGATATTTTGGAAGGCAAAGGAGCTAGGATCACAACCAAGAATCACTTACCCAGAAAAAATTGAGTATAATCCTTCAGGGGAAAAGTTGGACATTCCATGAAATAGAATTTTTAAGCATCTTGATGAAAAGACGAGAGCTGAATAAAAAATCTGACTTTCAAATACAAGACTGGAGAGAAGCATAAAAAGGTAAACAGGAATGGGAAATCATAATAGACTTAATAAGGTTAAACTATTTACCTTCCTGAATTGGAAAATGATTGTGTATGGTTCATCCTTCATTCTCAAAGAGGACCATGACATCAGGGAGATGATAACATATCTTGCAATTGACTTTGGTTTGAGGGAGGGAGGGCTGTGCAAAGTCACCAGCCTCACTTTCTCCTCCAGAGCCATCTAGATACAGCAGCTAGATAGCAGTCATGAGGACTGGAGACAGCCCAGGATACAGTGGAAGAACTTGGCCCTTTTAAGCTGAGGGCTTTCCAGCTTTTCACTGTGAGTGAGGCAATGCCCATTCAGTGACTAGGACTCTTTAAGAAGTGAGTCAAGGGATGGCCCCTAATTAACTTGGAGGGGAAGAACAGGGTTGCTGGCTGAAAAAGAAACAGTTAATATTTACTTTCTCTCTGAGCCAGAAAGGCCCAGAAATAACTATTAAGTGGTGCTTGGGACCTATTGTTATGTAATCCTTAAGATGCAGAGTGAATTGGGTTTAAGGCTTGATCTTTGAGAAATAAATCTAGCCAGTAAACTCCAAATCAATCAGGTAGTTTTCTGCCATCAAAAATTACCTTTATTTGGGCAGATCATGCTAAAGGCAGAGTACAGGAGAGGAGAGGAGTGGAGAGAAGAGGAGGGGGAGAGAAGAGTGGAGATATGTGGAGGGGAAGGGAGGAGCTGAACTGCCCAATTGGAACTGGCCAGCTGGGTCCACATTGAGGCAGCTCAGACTATTCACAGGTTATGGTTTGTCCTTCACTCTCAAAGAAGACTGTGACATCAGGGAGATGAAGATATGACTTTCAATTGACTTTGATTTGAGGGAGGGGGGGCTGTGCACATTCACCAGAGTTACTTTCTCATCCAAAGCCATCTGGAACCAGTGGCCAAATATCAATCACTTTGACATTGGAAGATGATATTTGTAACTCATAAGAAATTTCTCCTTATTATACCAGTTAGAAGGAGCACATATAGAAAGAGGGCAGAGGTGTGAGATGAATATGAAGGGATGATTCCTAAAAAATAAAATTAAGGGGTGGTAAAGAGGAATGCAGTGGGAGAAAGAGAAAGGGAGAGGTAGAATAGGGTAAATTATTTGATATAAAAGAGGCAAGAAAGAGCTTTTACGGCAGAGAGGAAGATGGGGGAGGTGGCAGGGAAAACTTGCACCTTATTCTCCTCGGAATTGGCTCAAAGAGGGAATAACATATTGTGTTCAATTGGGTATCAAATCTAGGTTACCCTACAGGAAAGTAGGAGGGCAAGGGCATAAAATAGGGGGGAGGGGAAAGACAGAGGTAAAGCAGATTAGCTGAGGTGGTAGTCAGAAGCAAAATACTTTTGAGAAGGAACAGGGTGAAAGGTGAGAGGAAGAGAATAGAATAAACAGGGACTGAAATAGGGTGAACAGAAATACAGTTAGTAATCATAACTGTGAAAAAATTATTGAAGCCAAATTTCTCTTTTTTTTGCAGATTTTATTAATTTATTTTGATTTATCAACAATCACTTCCATATGCTTTTGAGTTTAAAATTTTTCTACCCCTTTCTCCTACCTCCTCCCCAAAACAGTGCACAATCTGATATAGGCTTACATTTACATTCCTATTAAACATATTTCCACATTATTGAAGTTGTAAGAAAAATTAAACCAGGAGGAACCATCAGAAAGAGGAAACAAAACTCAACAGGAGAAAAAAAAAAGATAGCGATTCAACTTTCAC